TTTTATTGTTTACTTATAGAGTTCGGTATAAAAAAAAATTGGATTTACCGAACATCATCTATATACCGAACTTTTTTCCTGAACCGCAGGTTCGGTATATCGAGATTTGACTGTACTTATTATTGATGAATTACAATCCATCCGAAAATTCGTGAATAAAAAAAGTAATCACATGATTTTTAATAAAGAAACTGATTATAACCCCCCCCCAAAAAAATGGATACTGAAATTATTAATTATTATCGAAAGATTTATCCCCTTGCAACCTTGATAATTTAATATAAAATTCTGTTAAACGAAGAGACATCCATAGAATATTCTCTTGTATGAAAATTCATTGATGATTCTTGTACTACACTGTGCGGCTATGCTCATATTTATTCAAAATGCAAAGCCTAATGTCAAAAATTTATTATGCGTTTTTTTTTTTTCGGGACTCAGCCCTTTCAAATAAAATTTATTTATTTATTTTTGAGATTTTTTTTTTTTACATTTACATTCAAAATGATGAAATTTCCTATCCTTAAAAAAATGGTTCGTAAACAAACAGCTAAAACAAAAAAAGTTGAAGTTGAAGATCCCAAAACACCAACTACACCAGAATCTATAAGTGATAATAACGATATTTCAACAACATCAACTTTTACTTCAATAGAACAAGAAAATGCAACAATATGGTCTTCGTCATTTTCTTGGAATATACAAGCAACTTCCGAACTTGATGCAGACTCTACAAGCAACATATGGGAAGAGGATCATAAAAATTCCGATCAATTATATATTACAAAAATTAATGAAGTACTAGATAATAAAGATGATTTTGAAGAAAATGTTTGGACGGATGTACAAATGGTTGCTGGAGAGCCCAATAATCAATCATTTTTTAGCGTGCCTTTTACGGTTCCCGATTCGCCAATTACTTTAAACCCGCAGGTAGAGAGTGACTTAACTACTTCAAAAGCTGTTGAAATTTCTTATAATCAAAAAGAAGTAGAAAATAATCATAAAGGCTCTAATGAAGTATCTAATTCTGAAAACTCTGATTATGTTGTAGGAGAAGACAATTTTCCTTCAAAAGAATTATCTGATGAATTTGGTAAATTTACCAATCCTGATGTAAAGCTTGATAATGAAATGATTTTGGATAATCAAGAACTAAATGATTCATTTAATCAATGTGAAAATGTGAAATCGGAGAAATTGGTTGTAAATGAGAAGGAAGATGATGATTTTGGTGTTTTTGAATGTAGTGAAGGAAGTAGTTTTGATGAGTTTGGTGAATTTAAGAGTGAAGACACAAATGATTTTTATAATTATCAAAGAAACGAACAATCTATTTATGATGATTTTGGTGATGCTGAAAATGGAGAAAAAATTGAAAGTGTCAATGTTATTATTACTAAAGAAAATCATAATTCGGAAATCCAAAATGAACCACCCTTAGATTCCTTAGATTTGGATCATAACATGGTAAAATATCAAATTTTCTAAAGATAATAACTTTTATTATAATTTAATTTTTTAAAATAACTTACTAATTTTTTAAAAAAAAATTCTCATAAACAGTCTATAAAAAATTCCGTTGCTGGATGGATTGCTGTCTTGGATAAAATTTATAATTTACGGGTATTAGATAGTCACAATAACAAAGTAAAACCCGTATCCATAGAAGATCTTGTATATAATTCACATGAGTAAGTTCTTTGTTGGAAAAAAAAATTTTTTTTTGTTCAATGTTGACTAATTTTTTTTGATCCATTAGAATGATGAATGCTAACTTGAATTGGAGTTCGTTTATAGAACTTTGGAGTGATCAAGGAGGGGTTATTGGATTTACATGGTGTGGTTCGCAAATTCAAAAATCATTTTTGGAATCAATTAATTCTTTTTCTATGATCAAGACGGCGAATCGACTTCCAGGCTGTGATTTATTTAATGATAAACTAACATTATCATCATCACTCAATCAAATTACTCACGATGACGATATACCAACTTCATTCTCATCAGCTGAACAATCTACTCATGATAACAAAAAAGAACAGGAGAAGAATTCAACAGAAATACCTAATAATAATAACACTGATAACACACAAGGACAAGATGCTCCTATAAAGTCGAATAATATTGATCAAGGTGTAGATTTGAATCGAGATTCTTGGATAACTATGTCAGATCTTTCATTTTTGGAATCATTATCTTCTAGACCATCTAGTGTATCCAGCACCAAA